ACCAAAAAAACAGCTTGTCTTCCATCTTGTTGTTACTGTATGTACCCAAATACAGGGTGACTTCGAAATTAAGACAACCCTCCAATAATTGAATTCAACACATGGAAAATTATAAGAAATTTATAAATATTCCATATCTAGTATCTAATTGTTGGGGGGAGGGGTTTTCTTAAATTCAGAGTTGCCTTGGATTTGGGCAAATATGGTACCGCAGCAGTGAGGGTCAAGTGGCCTGAACCCTGCTGCTTGCCCCCTCCATGCCTGTGTCCTGTCCCACCGGCCCTCCTCACCACTTCCCCCCTGCCTTTGTACCTCTGCACCCACCCCTCGTGCTCCTTACCCCCCTGCTGCTGCCTCCGCTTCTTGCCTGCCACCCCCTGCCCCACCATTTCTAGTTCACTGCAACCCTAGCTGCATGGCAGGACCAGGGCCAGAGCAACCATGTGCTCCGTGCCCCATGCCGGAGCCCAAGCCAGAGCTGTGGAAGGTAAGCAGTGGCAGTGGGACGGAGGGAATGCAGGTGGGAATGCAGGTGATTGCTGCAGTTCTGATTTTGACACCAAGGTCAGGGCTGGAGTTGGGGAGCTGCAACAGCCACCTGCTCCCCACCCCCTTCTTGTAATCAAATCCAAGACAAGGGCTTTTTTTCCCCATGTTAAACAGAGGGGAAAGTTCTCATCTTGGATTTGAATAAATATATAGTCACTCTAACAGATGAGTAGCCCTTTTGCTTTTTTGGGGCCTGTATCTAGTGTCACAACTTTTCCAGACTGAACTGTTCTCTAGGGATGCTTATACACATGAGTGGGGTTTATTTCCCCTGAAGTGAAACAGTCAGTTTTTAATTTGTGGCTTTTTAATTGTTACCCACCGTTTCAGTTTAGGAGCTTCTATCACTGACAGAACAGTGACAGCACCGTCAGGTCACCCCCCCTTGCCCCCTGCTCCCCCGAGAGGGGAAAAAAAGGGGCAAAGGGCCCAATACTTTTTTTTTTTCCCCCTGCCTCTCGGAGCCTGCCTCCTTCTCGCACAGCCAGGTGGCAAGGTGCCAGCGGCCCCTGAGCGGTGCTGGTGCCCCCTGATCCTTTTCTCCGACATGGCAACAGCCCCAGGACAACACCTGCCCGCTAGCAGCCTGCCCAGGGTTGCTATACCTGCAGTGGGAAGGTTCAGGGGCCACCAGCATCTTGCCCCCCTGCTGCAGGAGTGGCAGGCAGGCTCCGCCAGGAAGAACAGGATTGGGCTCGCCACCTTCCCCCCCCCCAGCAGAGCCTGCCTGCATGAACTGCCACCGAGCCGTACAGCCCCTGGACTATGGGGGGCCCAGTGCTTCCTTGTGTGGCAGCAGTGCCCCCAGGGGCTGCCCAGGCAGGATGCTAGCTGGGCAGATGCTGCCTCAGCTCGCAGGCAGCACCTGAACTAATCCAACAGTCCACAGGGTGCTGGAAGCCTGGACATGCTCAGGGAAGTTCAGGCTTGGTGGGTTTCCAGTGCCCAGTACAGTGTCCCTGCTGCCTTCCCACTGCCTGGAACCACCTGGGAACCCACTGGCTTGCCCCTGGGTCAGTGTGGGAAGGCAGCTGGATGTGCTGTCAGCCAGAGAAGGTGGTAGGAATGGTGCATGGATTGCTGCTAATGTGCCAAGCTCGAGTTTCTGCGAGCCTGACTAGGCTTCCAGCACCCCATGCGCTGTCCCCGCCAACTTCTCCAGGCATCAGACATGTACATATTCACAGTTTTTTTTTTTTAATTCACAACAGGATAATTTGCCCCAATCAAACTAAAATACATTTGAGTTGGTTTAAGTTGCCACAGTCAAATACATTTTAACACAAAAAAAATCATGCACATGTACGCGGTGATGCCATTATGTTAGGCAAATAACGATTTTTCATCATTTTTTGTCACGTGGACATGGCCCCACCATCATGTATACAAGCACCCTAGAGGGTTGCTGCTTTACCAACAAAGTAACCAGTTGGAAGTGTACTTACAACAAGACTAGGTGATACTCTGACAGTGGTTTTCAACCTTTTTTCTTTTGTGGACCCCTAAAATATTTAAATTGAGGTGTGGACCCCTTTGGAAACTACAAATGGAGATATGGACCCCCTTGAATTGTAAGTGTGGGTATTTGCATACTTTTGATTGATCATAGTCATCTTTCGTGAACCCTTTAGACATAGTGTGAAGACCCCCAGAGGTCTGCAGACCACAGGTTGAAAACCAGTGCTCTATGATTCTACCTGTTGGAAAACTTGAAGACTGGTGAGACTAGGACAGTAACTTTAATATAATTATGAGAAGTATTAGCCAGATAAATGACATGACTCCCTCTTCCTTTGTCCTCATCTGTCTTTTAGTTCTGTGGAGTTATAAATTCATTTACTTCATCTGTAAATAAAAGAAATGACTAATAGAAAATATTTCTAGGAAGCACAGGTTTAATGTTAGCCTAAGTGATTTCCCTTAGCATCTATTTTTAGTTGGCTAGGTGCTCTCCCTTCCTTATTTGCCTTCCTAACCAAAAGCACTCTTGTTCTTCCTTTTTGCAAATTAAGCTGCCTGTACCATCAAATTATGTTTTATTGACTACTGAGCCTGCAAAGAAATGGACTGAGGTTTAAATCTGATACATTACCATAGCATAAAATACAATTTGTAGATCTTATTTAGATTACATATTGCTTTTCATCTTTTTAATAATATTTGTTATTACTAAAGATGATTTACAGGCACAGTTGAAAGGAAAAACCAAGTACTCTTCAACATTACATATGTTGTGTTCACTGCTGTAAGGGATGTCACATTCTCCCCTTCTGTCCCAACATACTCTGCCTCGTAAGAGCAATGAGTTGTGTTATGGCATTGTTAGAGTGCTAGTCATGGGCAATATTCTTACTGGTTTTATTTTCATTTATGTTCCCATTCAGCAAAGTAGTTAAGCATGTGCGTAACTATAAACTTCTGAGTAAGCCCACTGATTTTCAGTTTGACTTGTCCAGTGTGTAATTTCAGACACATGCCAGATCCACAGATTGATTGCTTCTAGCTACATGCAATGTGCTCTTCTCCCTCTCTGCACCCATAGATGGATGCTGCTGCTGCATTTTTCCTGCTGGTGTGGTGCTGGTTCTTCCTGCGTGCAGTGAAATCTTGACCCCTCCAAGCCATCCCTTCTCGTAGTCGATGGCAAAACTCCCATGGATTTCAGTGGAGTCAGGATTTTCACCCCTGGTTTTCTGCTGCTAGTTTTGTGTTAGCTTTGCAAATGAAGTATTTTTTTTCTTCAGGCTGTGAGCTGTCACTTTGCATGTGGTAACTATGCTAACTTGAGTATGCACATTGTCAGCTGCCATGCAGCACTTGGCAGGAAAACACTGTACTCCCAGGGAAGCGCAAGTAAAATATTTTCTGCCCACAACGTTTTGAATAAGGTTCAGTGCAGGCTCAGCATGACAAGATACATGGCCTCATTTTCTATTATCTATAGATATCTGTACCTTATTGGAGCTAAGGAAGAGAATGAGCGCTGAGATGTTATGATGATTAATTATGCAGTTTCTGTCCTGCAAATAAACCATAGAACTTCACAGAGTCTCTGAGCAACTTGTAAAGAGTGAAGCTGTCATTGGAAAATGAAGGTTTTGCTCATGAAAGGTGCCAGATTGATAGCACTGGGGAACAAAATTATCTACAGCATGGTCCAGGAATGGTCAGCTGCTGAGCAAGCTTCGCCATAACTGTTTCGATCAGTGATTTTTTTTTTTTTTTTTTTTTTCCAACCATGGTGCTGTCAGATCCTTTCAAGAGTGCTGCTCAATATTAGCACTCTTGAGTGTGCAAATACCACATGTAATTCGCAAGATAAACCCAGGTTTCAAATAAGAATTCACAGTGCCCAAAATTTTCTGACCTGTTGTGGTTCTTTGCAACAGAAGAATGGCTCTATTACTTTTCAGAATGAAATGAAAGAAAGCTAAGATCTGGCTTTTCCAAGTCTAAAAGGTTGAAAACCACTGGTCTACATGATCCACCCATGAGCTGAAACACTGCCATTCCTTAGAGGCATTAAGGAGAATTACTCTATTTTATAGATAGTTCCAAAGCTTCATTTTTGGATTCATGGCTTGGAGAAAACTGGATGTCCTGTTTTTGAAGACTTTTGCAAGACCCTAAGAACATTAGAAATTAGGTTTAGTGCATAACAAATGTTATTCAGTGTTTTTATTAACAAATGCATTGATCGTGTCAATAAAGCACATTAGTATTCTTGTTCCATTTTTTATTTGCAAAAACAATTTAGTACAGCTGCCACTTGCTGAGGAGAGTAAACAGAGCAATCTCATTTGCAGTCATTGACTTCATTTTTGTATCGTACTGTTGGGGATTCGGTGGGTACGTGTTTGCATACATGAGTGATCAATATTACATTTAACGCATAATATGATTTAATCCCTGTAGTACATGGTACATGGACTTTTTATAAGTTTATGAAGACATTGAAAGAGTTATTAAACTAAATTTGGGAATGAATGATGGTATATGGTATTTAAAAAAAAAAACAAAATGGAAGTGTCAACTTGGTATCCTGTTGTTCTCTTGCTGTTAAAACTCTTGCTACCCAGCTATGGCTTGACAATGCAGGTTGTGTTGCTAGAACACTGTTCTGTTAAGAGCCAAATCCTGAATAGACAGACCCTGATTCAAAGAACACCTAAGTACATCCTCAAGTTTGTCTCTTTTTCATAGCAACCTCTAAGAATGTTTTTCAAGTGTTCTAGGGATGCTTTTCTGAATTGAGACCTTACCCTACATTTAGTAGTACTTATTACTGAGAACAGTTTCATTCAGTGGAGCTACTCACAGCAGTAGTAAGCAGTTATCATAACAGTAAGCATTTTCATGATCCAATCTTTTAAGCTTAGTACGTTTTAAGGGAGAAAGTGTAAGTAAAGGTTACTGAATTATTTAAACTAATGGTAGTTTTTGTTTTATAGCTGAGCTTTTCATGGAACAACGGCATCTCAAGGAAGCAAGCTTTTGTATCCAGGAGGCAGCAAGTCTTTTCCCCACATCTCACACTGTGCTGTACATGCGTGGGAGGCTTGCAGAGATGAAAGGCAGCTTGGAGGAGGCTAAGCAATTGTACGATGAGGCACTCACAGTGAATCCAGCTGGAGTGGAAATTATGCACAGCCTGGTGAGTTTGCAGGGGCTCAGCTTCATTATAGTGTTCATGTGCTTGATTAATTGTAATAAGAGGGAAGAGGACTAATGGTAGCAGTGGATGCCATTGTCTTCTTAATACAGAGGGTGAGTTCCTTTATTCCAAGAATAAATTGGGTAGCTTGAACCTCCTATTTCAAGACTGAGTTGAATGTTGTTAGCTAATTAGGCTTGTGTCAGAAGTAAATATTTTAATTGTTGCAACACCGATGGTTTTGGAAGTTCATTTACTGCTTTCTTCCTGTCTTTGGTGTTCTTTCTGCTAACTCCCATGTGTTCCCAGTAAGCAATGCACTTATTTATTAAATCACACTTTCAAATGTATGAAGACCAGTGATTCTCAACCAGGGTGTTGTGGCAGATGCTAAGAAACTAAGCTGATAACCACAGGCTGGTCTCTGCCTGGGTGATTCCCCGTTCCAGCTCTAGGCCCCTCTGTAAGGAAGCAAGAATTGTACTCTATAAATTAGTTTTTGAAATTGAGTGCTACTCAATTCACAAAAGTTATGCAGGGTGCCTTGAGTCTAATAAGGGTTTGAGTCCAACGAGGGGTGCCTCAAGTCCAAAAAAGTTGACAACCACTGATATAGACAATGTTTGTAAATCTTTGTGCCTACATTTTTGTGCCTACCCAAGACTGAAGCAGATGATGATCTTAGGTTGAACTTTACCACTTGCAGCTTTGTGAAAGGTTCCATCCTAACTCCATGTTCTAGGGACAGTGTCACCCTTTTTATTTTGGCAGAGGGAAGGAGCAGAAAAGTCAGTGCCAAGTAGAATATACTTCCCTCCCAAGTCTGGATTGGAACCCAAGCCCTCCAGGGAGTCTCACCATCCCTTGAGTGCCGGTTCATATCTGTGAAACTTGCTGCCTAAGTGCATGTATCATCCTTCTGTAATTCTTGTCCGCAGTGGCAGCATGTAATTATTGTCAATAACTCTATTAGCTTGAGTTGCTCCTGTGGCTTTAATAAAGCCCTCGTGTGCATATGTATAGTGATGCGTTCTTTAGTGACACGATTACATACTTTTTTTCTGATAGGGGCATCTGCCTCATAGAATGCATGGGATATACCTACTCTAGGGGATGTATCAGGATTGTGTGGTAGCAGGAGACTATTGTCTGTAGGGCCTCTGCTTTGTTTATTGTAGAAGTTAGAAGGCGTATGATGAAAGGGGGGTTTTATGGTTAAGGAAGATAAATGCTGCCAATGATTCAACCTTTACTCCTGCCAGTACTAAGGGCACCCAGAATTAGCCAATCTGTGCTCTGGCCCATTGTACCTTCCCCTGACCTCACAGTTTTATAAAGTTAAAATGTTTGTGAAGCACTCTAAAACTACAGTGATGAGCATCATAAAAACCCTTTGAAGGAAGTTCAGGCCTTGGCTATAGCCACACATTAAAGAATGACCAGAAAATACTGAACAGCTACTCATTAACTGAATTCTGCCCATTCAGGGCACTGCAGGAGACACTGATCCTGTGAGAATTAAAGACCATATCCTAAGTAGTATCTTCTCCAGTTCTTAAGATCTTCCAGAAAGGCATCAGGTCTTGATTTGACTATAATAAACTTTAGGCAGCCATACAAACTATTGGACTTAGTTCAAGAGTAATAAGCTGAATCACAGAAGTGGGCAGCCTATGGTTTTACATGGCTTCAAACCCCATACAATTATGGGATGTGGATGCACAAAGTTGCACAGGCAGTTTTTAATTCTCATGTTTCCTAACTTAGCTTTTTGCTACCTTAATAATGTTCTTTTAATGTAGTTTTTGGGCATAATAATTAAATGTTGGGTTCTTTAGCAGAAAAAAGGGGTAAATATAAAAGTACCTTCTCTGCCTCCAGGAATTCTTGTTTGATTTATAGTGTATTTACCATCCAACTGATCTCATCATTTGTCAGGGAAAATTCTACTGTAGACAGTGCTGCTTGTCCCCAGTGTTTCAGCAGCAATTAGTGAAGCAGCCATGCCTTTACCTATAGGCTGTGAGAACTAGGTTGTAAAGCCTATATTTGGAAAATTCCAACTTCAGCAACATTGTAGACACAAATTAAGGACACAAATCTCGCAATGAATGAGCCTGTCAGCTTACTAATAACCACTTTTACATCAGGGTAAAGTCAAAGTAGTTAAACAAATGGCCTTTTTGTTCACTTACCTGAAAACAGTTGTGTGATTCATAGCGTTCCAAACAGCCATCAAGCTTGTGTGCTTTCCAGACGGAACAGAGTTGTTAGCTAGATAGAGGTGTTAAAGATAAAGCCCATGGGCCTGGCTCACAGTGCTGCCTTTGGGTCTTAGATTGGACCCAAGTGGCATGTGGCACATGCCAGACTGGCCCCATGCATTGCATGGGGAAAGTGGGGCTGGTCCATAGCACACGCTGCACCCAGGGCTGGGCTGCAGCGCATGCTGCTGGCAGCGCCCTCATCCTGGATCCAGCACAGGGGACCAGTCTGTGGGCCCAGTCCTGCTGAGGGCCAGCACAGCACCACTCATCTGGCCCATGGGGCCTGAATTAAGTTTGACACCCTGTTAGTAGAGCAGGGCTATCCAACTTCCAGGTAGAGAGATGTCACATGCCACACAAGTTGCGGATCCAGAAAATGCTCCATCCTGGGCTCTCTCCCTCCCCATACTCTTAGCATGGGCAGTTCGGGTCCCCAGTCCTCCTTCCTGCTAGCAGCACCATACCTAGACTCCTGGTGGCCCCGGGCAAACTTTTAGTATCGGCCTCCCCTTTGCCAGAGATAATGATGATAATTATCATTATTTTCACCATTTTTGGGTCCCTTTTCTGTCTGGGCCCCAGGCGGTCACCCAGTTCGCCCATGCCTGTGTCCAGCTCTGCCTGCTAACCTCATAACGCCCATCTCCCTTCCCAACCATGCACCCTCCCCCTCCATATGAAGTGTGGGCAGCCCAGCTCCTTCCTTTGTCTCACACAGCTCGAGCATCCTGGACCCCTCTTTCACCATGTGCATACCACGAGCACCCTGGCCCCCCTACTGCACACACAGGTAGTGGGGCCAGGGTACCTCAGCCCCCTTTTACTAGAGACAAGTAGAGCTGGAGGAGAAATGGGGAATGCAAAGACCCTGGCTACTGCAGCAGGCACAACAGGCAGGGAGGTTTGGAGTGGGGCAGAGTGGAGGCTGGGTGGGAGCCTGCAGGCTGCATCCTAACCCTTTGGGAGCTACATACAGCCCACAGTCCTGTTGTAGAGTAACTGTACAGCAGATGTATCTGCAGAATATGCTGGGGATTAGATTGATACACTTTGCAAGGTCTCCAGAGCAGGGGACTCTGCTCATAGTGTGTCTTGTTACAGCACCATGTGCACCACCAGTACATAACAAGGGTTTAGTAGTACTAATATGAAAGCAATGGGATGTACTTGTGACTTTTAGGCAATATCATTTGCTAACAGGCAGTACTTCTGACCTTTTTGACATGGAAATTAGCTGCAATAAAATTAATCTATAAATTTGTTATGTGGTATTGTTTTCTCATGAAAAAATCTAGGTTGCCGAATCCTTACTTCAGTCAGTTAATGGTTTTAGCCACTCAGTAGTCCCATTAAAGTCTGTGGAAGCTCAGCCTGTGAGTAACCACAGTTTTCAGTCTAGCGTTAGCAATCGTGTAGAGTGAAGCTTGTGACTTGTTCTTCTCTGTCTTTTTTGGGCATGTGAATGGTACTAGGAAGCCTCTCTATGATCTTCCTCTCCTCATTTTTCCACTTTTATTCTTATCTTCTTTTCCCTATGTTAGGACAATCTTATCCTTATGGGCTATGTAATCTCCCGCAGGAGCTTGTCTATGTGTCACCTAAATTAGCCAGAGGCAGTGACACGAAAGGATTATAGAACACTTTGTATCCCATCTCTCATCCTGCTATTGTGGACATAGCTTCCAATGAGTGTGCTATTCCTACGGGCCCCGAAACAAAACTAAAGCATGGATCCCAAGTGTCTAATCAGATCTCATGGATTGGTTCTACTTGAACAGCCAACCCAGCTATTAGCTGGCCTTTTTCTGGTATATTTTTAAACTGCATAACTAATGCTTATTTCCCCTAGTAAATAGCCAACATAACTTTGTGGAAGGAATTCCATGATAATGATAATGGAATGATTGACATGACATTCTCTACCAAATTAATGGAAGTGAGTGTAAGCCAAGACAGAATTTGGTCCATCAAACCAACACGGCATCCTTGTGGCTGAAGTACGTAACCATCGCATCACTGGAATAAGAACTTGAAATGTGCTGGTTCGCAGTGCATTCCATTCAGCAGTATTGTCTATTTGAGTCAGGAGTATCAGTGGCAGCATATTAGATTCAGGTCCTAAAGATCCATAAATAACAGTGTGAGCCAAAGTAAAAGTGTGCAGGGATACAAAGAAGGCTCTTGCCCAGCATGCCTTGCACATACCAGTTTGTTGGACTAGATCAATTCTCATCGTGCTTTAATTCAGGAAGGGAGAGAGAGAGCCATGCATTTTCAAAGAGAAATAAATGGGTACTGAGGTCTCTGACGTCAAGCCCGATAAAAAATGTGAAATATTTACTTGACTCACAGTTGGGTTTTATTGATTCCGCTGAAGAATTGTAATGCTTCCTTACTTCTTTTTTGAAGCCTGGAGCAAGAATGATAAGGATGTTATCAGAATGCTGCATAGCTTTCTGCCATTCCTGCTGTAATATAATCCTTATGTTTGATACTGAATGGTGGAAACAAAGGTTAAATATTTACTTTTTGTAAAAAAGTAGAACTAAAAACAATCTTTTAGCAGATATTCTACTCTTCTGTTGTGACCATGGGCACAGGCAGAAATTGAAATCAAATAGTGGCAATTAATTTGATTTGATCCAAAGTCAAGTTATATAGAATATGCCTTTTACATAAATCACAGCCATACAACAGCTCAAGTATGCTCAATCTTGAGGATTTTGGCAGTTT